TAACAAGTAACAATTTTGAACGAGCAATGTTATTCCGATCAAGTCTATGTTAACATTTATTGTTAATTTTACAGCAATTACATATATCTATCTAACTAAACTATGCAAAGATCAAAGTAACTAATTATTGATCTGCTATTTCCATTTCACTTTCAAATTATTTAATAACAATTACAAAGTTATAGTATCAAATGTTTTTACTTAATATTGTAATGATATGATATGAAAGTAACACGTTATAAAAATAATGAAAAATATGTTCGTAATGACGTAGCTGAATATACATGGGATGAGATTATCATTTGAACGTACTGAAGATATTTATTTTCCTATAAATCAATTGCTTCTATCTATGTTACTATGATTATTGTTGTTAGCCCTTTAAAATTCAATTAATTGATGTTTTCAGAAATACCTGATGTTACGGAATATTTAATGAAATACATGTACTTCTTTATAATATGCTGAAAATATTTCTTTGATTTACATCAAATGGATATTTACCAAAAAAAAACTAATTTTTGATCCATGATTTAAGTTTTACATTATTTAGTGATAATTCAATGATTTAATGTTATTATAAGTTTAATATTTTTTAATTATTTTTATATTGATCTGCTGCGAAAATAAAATTTTATAAAAAATATAGAATGAAATACTGAAAAAAAAAAGTGTGCAAAGCTGAAAGAGATGATGACGTAGCTGAAACATATACAAAGTGGGGGTGAGGTCTTCATTTGAATCTGCTGAAGATATTCAGTTGTGTGGATGAAGGCTATGGTGGTGTGTAGACGTCGAAGGAGAAGAGTATTGGATTAGAGATTTCGTATATTTGTTGTTGGAAATGGCGAGTTGGCTTTGATAATTGTTAAGTGGAAAGAGACTGCCGTAGAGTTGGATTGTCGTGAGGTGAAGTGCGTGAACGAATGGTTTTTGTGGTGGTGCGTTGTCGAGGAGGAGCAAAGGAGTCGGAGCAAGCAGGCAGGAGCGGAGTGCATCGTTGCAGGGTGAGATCCTTTCCGCTTCTGATCTGATCCTGTCGCACGGGATGAGACCCGAATTATGGTTTGAAATTGGTTCGGCGTTGGCGTCGTCGCTAGCAGCAGCAGTAGTAGTAGTTGCATTGGTTATAATAGCGTTGGTCTCGACATTTCGCCTCATACGCGTTTCGGCCTCTGCCTTGTCAACAGCGTACGGAGAGCCCGGTGCATTGTGGGTAATGTTTAGATCATGACGCAAGCGCACATCAGTGCACAGTCGGGTCTCGGAAAATGGCGTCAGTTAAGTTTCTCGAGGAAGCTCTCAGTACAGATGTTGATGAATCTGCTGTAAGTGCAATCGTCGGGTCGTTGGAGAACCAGCTCGTAACTTCCGCCCCTGCCGCCCCCAATCAGGCCGGCAATGCGACGGTCCTCAACCAAAACCACATAAATAGTGCAATATCAAACGGCGGGACAATTCCCTCTCAGAAACATGGGGCCATAGCTAACGGTGACACGATAAATAGTATCACAGGTAAATATATATATACATACATACACGTAGTAGTTCATCGAAAACCATTCACAACCTCATCATCATCATCTCTTTCTCAAATTCCTCCATCGTACACAACCTCTGCTGCAACAAGACGATGGCCCTCGGAAGAGGACACCTCTCGGACCCCAGCGAAGAACCATCTCCTTTCCCCTCCTTTCATCAACGAACCCTAAGCACCGAAAACCTGTGTGTATGTGTGTACAAAAACGTCTGCACATATGTACTCTGCGTGTATACACACACATGCCACACACTTCGATTGAGACCATCTCCAAAATAAATCTTTAATCTCGAATCTCCTCCGATCCCCCCACTAGCATTTCTATATTTATAAAACGCAGATTTATCGCAAGAGAAAAAATTGTGTATGTATATATAACGCACATAATTAGCATTGCATTCCTTCCATCACCATGGCAAGAAGCAATCAACGAAAAGGAAACACTTAAATCAAATATTAACCTAAAAACTATGACAACAATGCATAAACACCAATACACGTACGGCAATATACAAACAACTCTGAGATCACTGCAAAACAAGTACAATACTATGTAAATATCGTCGAGACAAGGAGATTTAAAGCATGAGTGTTTATAAATAAAAGAAGCTACAGTAATACGTTTCCCTCTTCTCCGTTTTCGTTGCCAACTCATAGAAAACTATACAATAGAAACGCTGCAAATATTTGAATTTTACACACATCTATAAACATTCATTCATTGTTTTTTGGAATTTACATTAATACGCATATGAAAACGCACAAAAGAAAGATTTTAATTTAAGCGAAAGGCGGCACGTGCTTTTATTATTTCCATCTGTATTTACAAGAAACATAACCTTAAGGGAACATGAAAATACTTGACGGAACTCTGGTTCCTGGTTGGGATACAAATAATCATCTTATAAGTGTTTGTAATGATAACAAATTGGTGTTGTCATTTATAATTCGTGGAGCGATATTGTGACGATGGAAGTTCTTGCAGGGATACATATAAAAATGTGACGAAATTTTGATTGTTTTATTGTTTTGTAGGTGTAACGACGGCGCAGGTAGCCACAGGAACATTGAACAACGCAACTTACAATACGACAGTCAACAATTCAGATGGCAATAAGTCTACGGAGCCGGTTAACATTGTCTATTCCCAGGGAAGCCAAGCGATGACAAGCACAGGCACAATCATCTCGAATCGTGTCTCGTTCCCTGCTGCACAGAACGTCCAGAATGGGACGATCGGTCTGTCGCAGCTCGCGCCACAGACCGTCCTCCAGACGTCGTCCACGTCGAACGTACAGACGATACAGGCTAAGCAGCCCACCCTTGTGATAAAGACTAGTGCTGCTGGTGGTAGTGCACAGGGTTTAGTTACAGTGCCCATGAATGTGACAACAAATGTGTCGCAGGTCAATAATGTAGGTAGCACAACCACACAACCCCCCAATATCCTGTCCAATCTCCAGGTACTTAATGTGCGCCCCGGGGTCCCCGCACAACCACAGAAAGGCCAACCGGCACGGGTTGTGCTCAGTGCACCACAGTTAGTTGGGGCCAGGCCTGGAACACCCGTAAGTTGCCGTACACACATGTTACAAAAATATGACTAAATGATAGGAGGATTGTATAGACATGGTATATCAATGCACACTAACTCTCTTTCCACTATAATGTATCACTTATTATTCCGAGCTCTTCATTAGCTGTCTTTAATTATCAGATTAATATTAATTACTTTTGATCCAAGATCTAATATTTGTTTATGTTATTGAATATCGAGGTGTGAAAGATTAATAGTGATTACATTATAAAATAATGCTTTAGAATGAAATTAACCCAATTAATTATTACCTGCAAACCATGTATATGCAAATCTCCTATTATGTTAATCAAAATTTTATTTTGTTTTGTTATAGTAAACTTTAGTTTCTTCTCAGTTATAGTTTGTTGAAATTATTTTTGAGAAATATAATTTTTGTATATTCTATTAGATATTATTTGGCTGTTATTAGTGTACGGAAACGTTTACATGTCTCTATACATACATTATTTTGCACTAAAAATCTTTAAATAATATTCCATAGTCTACTAACATATTATCTTACTTGTATGTAACTAAACTTACATATATAAAATTACTAAACTTATATATATTTTTTTTCTTAACATTTTGATTTTGTAGAATTTGCTGAGTGTTTAATGTGTAGATGATTAGAGAATTTGGCTTCTTTTGGGTTTGGTTTATATTAATATTTGGTTTGATTTGACTCTTTTTTAGCAATTAACATTACAAAGTTTGCAAGGATTGCAACCTGGACAGCAAGGACACTTACTGTTAAAGACTGAAAATGGTCAATACCAATTGCTACGAGTCGGACCTGCTCCCACAGGTGGAGTCAGCATTGCTGGGACTACTGGTGGTCAACCAGTTTCGTTTCGAATGCAAACAGTACCTGCTGTAAGTATTTTTTTTACCAAACAATTTCCTAATATGCAATATTGTGCAATCATATGTAAATAATTTCTTTACCATATGAAAATACTACATTATTGTATTTGTTTTAATAGCAATCGGCGGCGGCAGCGGCGGCGGCAACGACAACACCCGCAACGATTTCAACAACAGGTGCCACACAACAAGTTACTGCGGCGGCACCAACTGTTGTTAATACAACACCAGTTCAGGTTTGTAGAAATTGGGTGGTTATAATGACTGAATAAACATTACCGTTCTTCTTTCATTATATAGAGACCGGCTAATGATAATACCAAAGAAAAGTGTCGCAAGTTCCTAGCTAATTTACTGGAGTTGTCCAGTCGAGAGCCGAAATCTGTCGAGAAGAATGTGCGGATGTTAATTCAGGATTTGATCGACGCGAAAGTGGAGCCCGAGGATTTCTGCGACCGACTAGAAAGACTGCTCAACGCATCCCCACAACCGTGCCTAATTGGATTTCTAAAAGTATGTTTTCTTGTGTTTTCTCGAAAGAAGCTCGAAGATGTCTAATATGCTTATTTTTATTGAATTTTTAGAAAAGTCTGCCGTTATTGCGACAGTCTTTAGCCACAAAAGAATTAACCATAGAAGGAATCCGTCCTCCACCCACAAATGTGGTTTACTCGCTAGCTAGTGGAACGCCGACGATCCAGACGCAAGTCAGGCCTGCCTTAGCCGCGTCCCAGGTGAGGTTGGTAGCACCCGGCACGACGGTCGTGAGACCAGGTCTGGTTCAGCAGAGGGTCGTGACTCCTCTCAGGGGTGCAATCCAGCAAACGAGAATGTTGACGACGATACGACAACCGAATGCGAATCAACAAGTAATAGTGTCGAGCTCACAACCACCTGCCTTACATCCCGTATTCCCTAGTAACCAAGTAATGAGAACTGCCTCCGGATTGAACATTGTCCGGCAGCCGATACAGGTGAAGGCCGGTACTCTGACTCAGACGAGGCCGCAGATGCAAATCCGCACCACCTATCCAGTGGTCACGAAAAACTTGGTAACGAACATTAAGATGACCGGAACGAAACCCGTAGTGCCTTCGAATATTTCTAAATTAGCAACCAAAGACAAAGAGAAGAAAACATTTTCCTCTGCGTACACTGGCGACGACGATATTAACGATGTGGCCGCTATGGGCGGAGTTAACTTGGCCGAGGAAACGCAACGGATTTTGGGTTCGACGGAATTTGTCGGTACACAAATCCGGTCTTGCAAGGAAGAGTTCTTTTTAAACATGAATGCGCTTCAGCATAGGATACGGTTGGCCGTTGCCAAACACGGCCTCGACGAGCCCAGCAACGAAGTCGCCGCCGTCATCTCGCATGCAGCGCAGGAACGTGTTAAGAACCTTGTCGAAAAATTGGCAATCATTACTGAGCATCGATTGGAAATGGTTAAAAGTGATCCTCGGTATGAAGTCACCTCAGATATCAAAGGTAATACATCATTTTTACTACCATAGTATACCCATTCACTTATCAATTTTGAATTGGAAAGTTCATATTATCAATACGTTTAACCCTTTGAACTCAAAGTTCTTACAAGACAACTTGTATTTATTTTAAGATAAACGAATTAAAGTAATGTACAATGGAATTTTATATTAATAAATTCACGATACATACGAGTACAAAGGGTTATACATCGTTAATTTTCAAAATAGTTTTCTTTTGTTGATTATATTCTTCATTATCATCATTTTTCGAATTAGATTTTGATCAAGTACATCTACTTTCTTATACATCTCTATTATCTATCAAAAATTACATTAACCCATTGACTTGAGTACTTGAGATACTCGAGACTAACAATCGTAATTATTCAATTTAGAAGGATTACTGTTATTGTCTTATTCAATGAACATTAAAAATGATTTGGATTGGGTATGATAACTCCTAATCAGTATAGAATGTTATTTTAAATACTAAATTGACAAAGATAATGATGTTTCAATGATGAACTTTTAAATTTTCATTTCATTACTAGTTTACATTAAAATGAATGAAGAATGATAAAATAAAAGTTATTTTTTATTCATAAAGTTTTTAAAGATAATGTAAGGTCTAATGTAATTTTGTAATGTTTCAGGTCAGTTGAAATTTTTGGAAGAATTGGACCGAGCGGAGAGAAAACGTCACGAAGAGATGGAGAGAGAGATGCTTTTGAGGGCAGCGAAGAGCCGTTCGAAAACTGAGGATCCTGAACAAGCAAAACTGAAAGCAAAGGCGAAGGAAATGCAGAGAGTGGAAATGGAGGAATTGCGCCAGCGAGAAGCTAATGCCACTGCCCTGCAAGCCATAGGTCCCAGGAAAAAACCAAGATTAGATGGAGATGCCGGAGTCGGTACTTCTCAGGTAATTCATCTTCATGTGACCGTTTCGACTGTTTCACTAATTTTATTTGTTCATTCATGTTGCAGGCAAATACTGTTTTCAATAGCGGTGCTAGAGGTCAGTTGCCATTAAAACAGCGTATGAAGAAGGTAACACTTAGGGACTTGCAGTTCTTGTTTGAAACTGAGAAGGATCTGTGTAAAAGTACGCTGTTATATAAGTCATATCTTAAGTGATGTACGGTTCTCATCAATGTTGTGATATTCGGACAATTCAGACGATACATTGTTTTAAAAAAATCGCGTAAAAAAATATAACAAAAAAAAAAATGAAAATAATAATAAGGAAAAGCAGAGAAGGACGATAGACGGAGCGAGAGTAAAAAATTGTGTTCTATATTATATTATAAATAAATTATTCTACTTTTTAAAAAACAATAACATCTGAATAAAAGCGGAATATACGGTTATGTTGGCGATCCTACGTTTTGTATCAAAACTATAATGGAGAAAAAAATAAATAACGAGAGAGAGCGAGAGATATGAGTTCAGAGAAGTACGCGGGGAAGAGAGAGAGAGAGATGTTGATGATGATTGAAACTATCAAATGAATACTTGGGAACTAATCAATCAATTAAAGCATTAAGAGTAATTCGCTTGTGCTTTTCGCAGACTGTATGTGCCTGTTGGGAATTAATTTTTTAGCCGCACCAAAATATTTTTATTACAGGATGAGAAAACAACAAACAAAGAAAGAAACAAAAACAAGAAGAGAAAAAAAATTAACAAAAAAAAACAATAACACAAACGAGATGAAAGAAAGAAAGAAACAAAAATAAAACTGTTGAGAAATATATTATGTATAATTGACTTTTTGGAATGGAGCTACAATGATCATTTTTTATATAAAACAAAAATCTATATATATATATACATGCATATATATAAATGAATGAAGAAAAAAAAAAGAAGTATATACATATATTTTTCCTCTTGTAAAAAAATGATTGTAGATTTTCTATGATGAATATAGCCTGTATTTTCTTTATAAGAAAATATTTTCTTTTAAATGAAGTTTTTTTTTGTTTTATTTTTTTTTTGAAATGATGTTGATTTGTAATTATTTGTATAATTGTTTTCTTTTTTTTAACCAGAATATTATGAACATAGATATATATAATTTTTGTTATAGAATTAATATTTAATATAATGAGTAATAGGTATAAACTAGTTTTTTGTTTATTGTACATATGAATATAATTGTCACGTATATATGTGTTTGTATATACGTTAAGAAGTTGAAGAGAGGAGAAAGAAAGAAAGGAAAATGCAAGAAAAGTCGAGAAAAAAATAATTATATTAATAATGAGAATAGACGAAAGTAATTGATGAATGAAGGGGTACAAACACCACCAATTTGAATTGATTTATTTTATATTTTTTAGTCAAGTTAATCAATTGTTTTTAATATTATTTTTATACGTATATATATATATGTGTATATATAAACAAACGCAAAAAAAATATGATAATTAATGTTAAAAAAAAGAGAAAATCGAAAATTTGGACACAGGAAATAAGAGCGAATAATATAGGGATTTTTTTTTTCTAATTGCATTATATCCATTCGTTTCGAAATGAACCCCCCCCATAAAACCCGTTGTTTCATAACTGTAATAATATTTGTAATATAAATAATTGGATTCTATAATATGAATTGTTAGAATGCAAACACAGACGCGGTTGCATTTCATCAAATCCGAATGCCTTAAAATACCTAATCTAGTTGTATCATTTTTTCTCCATTGTTTTTCTTCACGACCAATCGAAAACATCAATATTATTGTAAAAATCAAAGAATTGTACTTTTGAGCTGCAAAATTAATTAGATTCAATTATTATTATCATCGTTGTTAGTATTTTATTTTTTACACATTATATAAATATATTATGATTTGAAAAGAACGAGGAATGGACAAAAAAAAATACAAATTATTATTATATATAAAAAAAATGAATATATATATATATATGAAGAATTAAAAAAATGAATTGCTGTTGAAACACATAAGAATAATAATTCTCTGTTAGGGATTCTCTATTAGGTACGCATTTTTTTTAAAATGACTAATCAAATTATTTTTATAACAAAAGCGAAACAAAAAAAAGAAAGTGAGTATCCAAACACATGTTTTTTTGATAAGAGAAAAAAATATGCTAAATAAAATATTTATAAAATACACGAATCTTTTATTATTTAATACTTTTCCTCTTTTATGACATTGTCTATGTACACCTTTGTTCAATACTTTATTATTCCTTTCAATTATCCACCTATTTCTGCTCAATGTTTAATTGTCGATGTTTTAATATTAATAATTTGTACTCAATCAACTTTCGATTCGTTGCTGTAACATCACTAGGTCGAATCGATTAAAAAAATTAATTACAAGGTTTTCATTGGCGTTTGAAAAATTTCAAATTAAGTTTAAAATAACTTGTAAAGTTTAAAAATCTTTGTTATTTAAAGCTTATTTACTATATTTACACGCACGTTTTGATACTTAAGCACAGAAATTCATTTATCATATCCAATTATAATATTAATTTACATTAATAGGTTCAAGTTTTATAGAAATGCATAAATCGATTGAAGCAAAATTTTCAAATTGGTACTACAAAATTTCAATCATTTTTTTAAATAAATATAAGCATTAAACAACAATTACGAAAGTTGACTATTTTTTTAAAACAATTTAAATCATCCTGCTAAATCCTGCTGCGACACTACAGGCAACCCAAATATCAGATTTGTAATAGGTTGCCTATTACACAACATTATCGGTGGCAATCGCAAGCTCGACAACCGAAATCCCGACAATCAAAATCTCGACTATATCGAAATTCCGACAGTGTCTTTTATTATTATAAATTTCTACAATAACATTTTTATGGTAGTCGGGATTTCGATCTAGTCGGCATTTAAAGCGTCGGGATTTTAATACAAACGGGATTTCGAACGTCGGGATTTCGATACAGTCAGGATTTCGAACGTCGGGATTTCAATAGACGGTCTTTCGGTTGTCGGGCTTGCGATATAGACCCCAACATTATATGCATGTATATTTTTCAGTTATATTTTTATATTAGTATATAGTTTTATATATTAATTACTCAATATTTGCAGTTTTCTATTTAATTAATTAATTTTGTTTTTCTAATGATATAAGTTTTAAGAATAAACTTGTTTAATTATGTCTCTAAAATTTTAATTATTGGACATTTCTTTAAAGAAATAATTCAAAATTTCTTTTGTCGTTTTGATTAGTAAGTTTGGATATGTTAATATTTTGTATTAGTTTGAATTGATATAAACGTGATGTTAATTACATGTTAATTAGTAAATAAAATTAAAGTAAATTAGAAATTTAAAAATAATCATCTTGAAATTATATCTTAAAAAAAAGTCTATATAGGTACAAATTTTAAAATTTTCAAAATGTACTTATCTTAACACACTTTACAATGGTTTTTACTTTTATATATGTTAAATAGACAAAATACTTTTCAATGTAGACATCACAATTATTTAATAAAACATGACAAAAGAAACAAATTCAAGAAAACACATGTTCCAAAAATATTATATTTTATTAAAGAAATTATCAATTTTTGTTTGGACAGTTAATTTCTTTATCACTATATATCTCCTTGTAACAAGTTAGCGTTTAGAATTTTGTTCGTAAGTCCGGGTGTTTGTAAATCTGTAAATTTTAATATATTAATAGCATCACCAAAATAAAAAAACCTTTTAGGTTTTTAAATGCTTAAGAAAGTTAAGCAACGCATGTTGTGATGCCGTGTCCCAGGGATGGAATTCTGGACACAGTGGAATATTGTCGTGTGTTGTCGTTATGGAGTCTCAATAGTTATGAATTTAATGAAATTCGTTTGGTTTTACATTACTTTATTCGTTACTTGGTCTTCTGCTGAGACTATGCTCGTATTAGGTTTTACTGAGACTATATTCATCTTATTAAGGTTTTACTAATTCTAAATACTTATACTACTTACAAAGTTAATTCCTATTTATACGGGGTGGAAATTGTGATCGGGAGTAGGGTTTGTATATATTGATGATTAAGCGCCAAGATTCGGCCTCGGTGGATTTGTTTATATGAAAAGATGATCGATTACGATTATAAGTGTAATGATCATTATGTGTTTATAATAATGACTTGAATTCGGTGTCGATGGGAATGTTTACGCTTGGTCCCCATTGTTTATATTAAAGTGTATCGAACTGGGATCGCGGTAGAGATTTCTTTATGCTGATGTATATGTTTATATAATAATGAGACTAAGAGACGCCTTGGATGTCTCTAGTTCATTAATACACTATATTAATAATAACAATTATAATAATAATGGTTAGACACAACAGTGATTTGTTCATAGACTGGTGAATTGTGAACAAAAAAAAATACAATTTGGTAAACAAAACACAAAGGAAGAATCTGTTGTTTAATTGTTAGTTAGAAGAAAAATCTCTTAAATGATAACTATGAAAATGAACTGTAAATTGTTGAATGTCAAAGGTAACAATTTCTTATGTATTATATCGATGCATTAAATAACGTATTTGACGTCGTTTGCGGCACGTTCGACATCCATCATATCCATTTCTTTTATTTTAGAATCGTAGGTGGGTGGGTGGTGCGAATTGGGAGAGAGAGGGCATGAAATTGTTTTCGATTTATCGGTGCGGCTTTTAATAGTTCATTAAGACCTTTCCCTCGCTAATAAACAATAAAACGCCAGACGCAATCTTTGGCGAGGACAAGAAAAATGAAGCAAAACTGAAGCCCGACTGAAATATGATATATGAGTCACGTGTGGGCACACACACACACACTCACTGAATCCTGCACGGTCCGTTTCAGTGCAAGACTTGCAACCAGTCACGTCCTCTCAATATAGACACAACAAAACGTGTTTTTATTTTGTTGTTGTTGTTGCTGTTTGTTCCCTACATTTTTCCTTCCACATGCATGCAAACAAAAATATGCATATGGAAAACATGAAAGAAACGCTACCATTTGTTTTGTCTTCATGCGAGTATTATTTGCATCACGTTGATACACAATACTTCGCGGCGAGCCGTAAACTCAAGCTAATTGACACCTCAGCGCAAAACTATTTATTTTTCTATCTAACAAAAAAAAAAAAAACAAAAAACAAAACCTATAAATCTCTCTCTCGTCTGTTTGTTCTTATTTAATATATGGAAAGTAAATTTGTATTTGTGTTGAATTTTGTACCTGTGCCACAAGGGTTAACGAGTGGATTCAAATGAGATGGGGGGATGAGATGCTTTGCTTCGTGTATTATCGCAGCGACACGAGCCCCGAGGGTGTTGAAAAACTAAAGAGTAGCCCCTCGTCATCCGGTGGGGTGAGGTGGAGGAAGA